GTCAAGGAATATTTGTTAAATGAGTAAATTAACCTGTGTCATAGAATAAAGAAATCCCTACTGCTAGAAACACAAAAGCTGTTAGAATCCTTATTTTTAGGGAAGCTTTGAATTAAATCAAGACAAAAATTACTATGTTAGCTTGGCACCCAATCAAGCCTCTGACCCACTTACGGAGTTATCTTTTTAACAAATTTCAGCAGCCTGCCCTCCTTTACTTCTCATTGATATAAAGACAAATACCCATTTCGGGGGTACCCGTCCTTCTCCAAGCAGAGAAAACTTTTATTTAAGACACATGAGTCCTCCTCTCAACTCCCCCCACCCCCGACCTTTTTTCAGCCTGCAGCTCCTCTAAGCACCTAAGTTACATTAATCTTCATAATATTCCTGAACAGTTCTAGACTACAAAGGACCAGAAATTTAGATTAAGTCATGTATACCCAGTTTCTATAAGACAAATCTATTTCTAAATTGTAGATGGCTCAAACTAGCAGTGATTTACAGAACTATATCTTAGAGTTAGACTTTATATCTGTATTTTGCACAGAGCTAAAAACAAAGTAGGAAATGAAAAAATACCTATTGATTGATTGATTAATTCTCACAGTATATATGCCGTTTCTCAGAAAAGCCTTTCTCCAAAAGGAGACTTAAACATGCTCAGCACTAAATGAATGGGTAAGTGTGATATAACTTTTTAGAATTTTCATGCTGTTCCAGGGCTGTCCCCAAGAAGCAAAACTAAATTCCTAGAATCAAATCAGCAGTTACAGGACAGTTAACACATTCTGCTCACCACTGGGCTGCTAACTGAGCTTTCTAATGGCTAAAAATCCAGTTATCAGCTTCTCCAATGCCCGAGGGCCCCCCAGACACATCCCTGTTCTCAGGACTAGGAAGAAGGGATTCTTACCTAGTGAGGGTTTTTTTCGTTTTACTTCTGAGTAATCTGCTCTGGTACCCAAGTATCTCCACTGCTGAGATGTCCAAATTCATCTCTTCTCAGACATGAGAAGATCACTTTCTTTCCTGATGAAAAATAATTGGGGGAAATCTTTTAGTGCAGATTTTCATTTTGGAAATTTCATTTTGGAAATTTTCTTTAAAAATTTCGGAATGATCTATTTGAAAATGTCTATATTAACTATTTACTAAACTGGCATTTTCCAGGATTATTTATTATAATTGCAGAAAGCAGTAATTTAAAGCTAACCTAGGTTTAAAGGTTAACAAATGAAAGCTATCAGGCAATGAAAAATATTGTTTATATATTGATTAAACTTATTAGCATAACAGTTTTATATCAAATGCCTTCATTTTGAAATTTCTTTGTTGTATTTAGCATGGAATTTATTTTTTAAATATACTATATAGTGTACTAGGAGATTATTTTTAGCCACGAAAAGTTTCACCTAAAAGATGTTATTCTGAGTAAGAGGATAAAATTTTAATAGAGAGGAAAAATGATTCATTTTCCTATTTATCTTCTGCTTTTCTTAGTTCTCTTTCCTACCTCTTCTCGCACATCCCTTCCCCAAACTAAAGGAAGTAAGACATGATGGCTTTTAGGATCAGAAGTGCATTTGTATTTCAAAAAGATGATTAATTC